GAGGGAGGAAGTGGGAAATTAAGAATGTACATTACTATAGCGAGCTACATAAAGTAACAATGATTTATTTATTTGTGATGCATCAAAAGATACATACTTCTTTATTTTTTGTCCTATTATAGATACAATACCTATCAGTTATCTCCATGTTAATGCTGTATCATCAGATACATTATTAATAATTTGGACTGGAGCTGATTGTATACAATCATATGATGTATTCATTAATGGAACTAATGTTAATACTACCAGTGGAATGAGTCTATTGTATAATACTGGAGGAGCTATTGGCAGTATTGATGTATTGGTTAATAGTGTTGATTATTATGGAAGAGCAGTGGGTAACTTATCAACTCAATATCAATTTAACAGTGAGTGCAACAAAAATGAGTTAAAATTCAAAAATCATAGATCTGTTCACAGTATTACACTGTATTTGTTTCTACTGTAGCACATGATTTTGAAGTCAAGGCTATTGTATGTAACAATACTTCCATCATTATCGCAATTAAGGTAATTACAAGCCATTATTGTTGTATGATGTAGCAGGTGTTCATAAAGGTTATTCTAAATCCCTTGTTAGTTGTTACTCTATCAATGTACTTTTAGCTATACATAGGCTGCATCCTGTCCATATTAAAAAAATACCCCTAACTTTCTGACAGCTGTTGTAACAGATAGAGGATCCTTGAGATCAGGTTTATAACCACAGAATCCTTACCAGAACAATCCTGTAATGGGTGTCAGAATACGATACAATACAACACAGAATCCATGCAATAGCCCATTTGCTGAAAATTACCGTTGGCCATGGTTCATAATTTTTCCAAAAAATGGCTCAAAAATCACCACAAAATTTTAATACATTTTCTGATACTTATTGATGTACCTTTGTTGTGTAGAAAGTTTGAGCTGATTCTGACTAAAACTTTTTGAGTTATGGCCATTTTAAAAATTGGCCGATTTTAAAAATGTCCTGTACTTATACCTCATGCTTTTTTATGAAAAATGACTCCAAAATCACCCCAATCTTTAGCAATTTTTTCTGATGCATACATGATCTTATGTTGAGCATTTAAAAAATTATTTATAGGATAATTACATCAATCACCGGCCTGTTCCATTGTCCTGTAAATTAATAGTATCAAACTTAACTCAATCATCATCATCAATGGATTGTCTCTATGAAAGACTGTTTATATTCACTAATGTCACTGAAGGAGATGTGTATAATTATACTGTTACTATTACTAATGTCATTGGGTCTGCTGTTAAGAATGGTTCCATAGGTACATAATGAGTGTATCGAGTCAATTAAAAAAATAATTAAATGTACATGTACTAATACATAGCATATTAATTTTTATAAAATTGTAGTACTACCAGTACAAGTGTGCCCGTCACAAGCTCCAAATTTCTATTCAACTTTGATGATGTCTCAACAGTCTCTTTGTTTATCAGGTAAGTATTCTAGACCCTGAAAATTATATTTTACACTTCTTTAAAATTTGTGGATTTGGTTTTCATGAAATTTAGTAATATTTTTACTGTAATTATTATTAGTAGTAGTAGTAGTAGTAGAAAGTAGTTGAGAAAGCAGAGCTCTCATTATCATCATTATTATTATCATTATTATTATTATTATTATTATTATTTGCTACAGATACAAGTACCAGTACTTCAACAACTACCAGTAATAGACCTGGTGGATCAAATTGTGTCCTTCCTTGGATATTTGGTGTAGTAGCTGGGACAGTAGTGGTTTCACTTTTCATTTAGCTTTTACTTCAAAGGTAAAAATAATAATAAAATCTGTTTCATTCTTTATTATAAGCACTGATCATGTAGACTTACAGCCTCGTGTACAAAAGGAACATATTAAAATTGTCTTCCTAAGTAAAAATTATTATAGTTTTGTAGTTTTTCATTAGTATCGCTTTAATGATTACATAGATATTTAATTACATCATTACATGATCAATTTGTTATCTTTTTTGTTAGTTATACAAAAAACTTACTGTAACTCCATTGTGCAATTGTCATAACTCAAAAAATTTTAGCTCAAACTTTCTACACTGCATAAGGACATCAATATGTATCAGAAAATGTAATAAAAATGGGGGGGGGGGTGATTTTGGAACCATTTTTAGTAAACTCATAGACTATAGTACAGGATATTTTTTAATCTGCTTACTACTATTAGATTAGTTTGAGTTATATTGTCCGGCCAATAATA